AGGAAAGGCGCAAAGCTACACAGAGAAACCCTGTCTCGAAAAACCAAAAAAAAAAAAAAAAAGCCATAGGCCATAGCTTTAGCTCAGGCCCAAAACACCTGCCTATAAAGCACAAGGTTTGGGGTTTGATGCCAACATTCTAGAAAAAGGAAATAAGAAAAAAGAGCTCAAGGCACTCAGAGCCTAGCCACACATCCACTTCAGTAGAACAGGAAGTTCTGATACAGTGATCCCACAGAACACTATTCGGGAACAAAACAATTACTGACAGATGCTGTGGAACAATCTTTTTGTACACCATGAATATGTATTACTCTCACTGCTAATAAAAAGGTGATTGGCCAACAGCTGGGCAGGAAGAGATTGAGTGTGAGAGCCAGACTAGGAAATTCTGGGAAGAGGAGGGGCAGAATCAGAGAGTTTCAGGCAAACACAGAGAAGCAAGATGAGAACGCCGTACTAAGAAAAGAAACCAAGACCATGTGGCTAAACATAGATAAGAATTATGGCTTAATTTAAGTGTAAGAGCTAGTTAGTAACACGCCTAAGCTATCGGCCAAGCATTTATAAGTAATATTAAGCCTCTGAGTGGTTATTTGGAAACTGGTGGATGGGAGAAAAACATTCGACTACAAACAGAAGCAACACAGACACATCACAAACAGTGCTAAACAAAGAACACAGAACTCCATTCATATGAAGTTAAAAACCAAGTAAGCTAAGATGTACACATAGGTGGCAAAACAATAAAGAAAAGTCAGTAGTGGCTTCACCCAGCGAGACAAAATGCTAAGAAAATGAAATAATACTTTTCAACCAGGCCAACCAGGACTGCATAGCAAGATCCTACCTCAATAAATAAAAAATAAGCTAGGCCAGGCAGTGGCAGTGCATGCCTTTAACCCCAGCACTCAGGAAGCAAAGCCAGGCGGATCTCTGTGAGTTCGAGGCTAGCCTGGTCTACAGAGTGAGATGCAGGACAGGTACCAAAAGTACAAAGAGAAGAAACCCTGTCTCAAAAAACAAACAAACAAAAAGTTAGGACAAGAGAATGGAATATTAATTTGAAATCATTATAAAATAGATATCCACACTCCCATAACCAAGGTCAAGAGATAAAACAGGGGCTAGAGAGATGGCTCAGCGGCTGAAAGCACCAACTGCTCTTCTAGGACTCTGGTTTGAATCCCAATACCCATATGTTGGTTCACAATCATCCGTGGTTCCCTTTTAAGGGATCCTGCACCCTCTTCTGATATCCATGGGCACCAGATGTGCACACACTGTACAGACATACATGCAGGTAAGACATCCACATAGAGACAAAATTCAGTATTCTAGAAGTCCTCCATTTCACTTTCTTTTCTTTTCCTTTTTTTGATTTGTTTTGTTTTTTTTGTTGAGACAGGCTCTCTCTACAGAGCCCTGATTGTCCTGGAACTTTATGTAGACCAGACTGATCTCAAACAGAGAGAACCCCCTGCCTCTGCCTAAGTACTAGGACTAAGGTTTATTTTTTTATTTCAAGAAATCCCAACAGTATTACAGTGGCCTTGGTAAAATAAAAGTACAACTTAAGGGCTAGAGAGATGGCTCAGAGGTTAAGAGCACTGGCTGCTCTTCCAGAGGTCCTGAGTTCAATTCCCAGCACCCACATGGTGGCTCACAACCATCTGTAATGAGATCTGGTGCCCTCTTCTGACATGCAGGCAGAACACTGTATACATAATAAATAAATAAACCTTTTAAAAAAAAAAAAAAAAAAGTACAACTTAAAAAGTAAAACAACCAGCCGGGCGGTGATGGCGCACGCCTTTAATCCCAGCACTCGGGAGGCAGAGGCAGGTGGATCTCCATGAGTTCGAGGCCAGCCTGGGCTACCAAGTGAGTTCCAGAAAACCAAAAAAAAAAAAAAAAAAGTAAAACAACCAATATGGGAGAAGTAACAATAACAGGAAGGGGAAACAAGTAAAAGTCAACACATCCACGTTCTTGGCTGCTGAGAAGAGGCAGTGACGGTGACAGGAGACTGGGAAGAGCAAGCACACGATCTGACAGGAGGCATTTCACCTGAGTGTTACCAGCATCACAAGAAATATACACATTTAATTTACACAAGCAAAGGCCACACTTTCCAAACAGCAATTCAATAAGGTACACCATGAGCTTGCAGTGGTTAAGTCCACTCACTGCTCTTGCAAAGGAGTTCCATTCCCAGCACCCCCAGCAGGTGGCTCACAACCACTTGTAACTCCAGCTCTGAGGAGGATCTGAAGCCTTCCTGCCTCCTTTGGCACCTACACTCATGAACACATACCTACACAGGTACACATACATTATTAAGAAATATCTTAACCATCTAAGAAAACAATCTCAAAGGAACAGGAACTGACGGAACTGAATACCATGCCCACTTCAATAATCATCACTGCCTCCACAAAAGACACTGAATTCCCACAAAGATGGTTACAAAAGTTCTTATATACCATTAATAATATACACAAAATAAGAGTACAGTGTAGAGTTTAAAACCAGTAGAATTTGCTATTCTCCAACTGAATTATAAGCCCCATAACCCAATAAATAAATGTTCTGGCAACAGTTCACAGCGAGATTCAAACTCTAATTCCTGATGAGTATGAACTGGACAGCAGACGTGGTCAATGACAGGGTTACCTGTTCTCAGCCTTCTTGCTTTTGCTGCCAGGACTGGAGGACCGGGATCGCCGACCCCGGCTTCTACTCCTTGAGCGCCTTCTATCTCGGCTCCGAGATCTTCTTCTCTCTCGGCTTCTGTCTCGTTCTCTACTTCTGGAACGCCTGAACAGGAGAGTTCATTTATTTTGTGGCCAAAGGGAGTTATTATTTCCGATTATGACTGTCCCGCAATAAAAAGTTTCTTAAAGTTAGGATCATTATTAGAGGTAGCTGTAGTGGGTAGCCATTCCAGCTTTGATCTGGAAGTTCCAACCCCCATTGAGGCTTCGGTAACTGTCATGCCTACAAGGTGGGGCTGAGAGGACCCTGAGGGCCCTGAAGACCAGAGATCGGGATGCGCTGGCTCTCTTGATTCCTGGACTCCAGACACTGGAGGTAGACCGAGCAGAGTTCCCCAGAGAACACCACCAGACTGCGCTACACCTTTCCCAGACCCTGTTACCTATCCCTTCACTTGTAAGTTACCCCACAAAATAAACCTCCCTTATGACTACGTGGAGTGGCCTTAATAATTTCACCAATAGATAGCATTCTTAATTAGCTACCAATTCAGCTAAACTGGACACAGGTAAATCCAGTTCTTACGAACATCAATGGAAGCGTGACTATCCACGTTCCCTAACGATGTCTGCTAACATAACAAGTTGTAACAATCCATACTTTAAATCTACCACCGATAGCACCAAAGCCAGTTCTCACAAACAGCCCACGCCTGGGGCTGCAGAGCAGCACTGGAACACTCCCTGAGCTGTGCAAAACCCTAATCCCAGATGTGGGGGAACCCAAGTAAGGAGATGCGCAAACCTGAGCTACAAGACCAAATCTGAAGATTAGGAGGCAATATTCTTCCTGTGAGCCACTAGTTACATGACAAAGGGCAGACACCCCCAACCCCATGCATCCCACTTCCGTCCTCTAGAAAACATGGAAAATTCACTATATACTCTCAATTTTTTTTTTTTTCTTTTTTTGAGTCTCACTGGCTTGGAACACAAGAGATCCACCTGCCTCTGACTCCCTAGTGCTCAGACTAAAGATGAATACAACTATGCTCAGCCTCAAAATCCTTGATCCAAAAGTCTTACAATTTTATTTTTATATAAAAACTCAAAGATCGCCAGGTGGTGATGGGACAAACCTTTGATCCCAGCACTCAGGGGCAGAGGCAGGCGGATCTCTGTGAGTTTGAAGCCAGCCCAATCTACAGAGCCAGTTCTAGGACAGGTTCCAAAGCTATACAGAGAAACCCTGTCTCAAAAACAAAACAAAACTCAAAGATCAAAATGTTAAACGATCAATTCACTTAACACATACTTGACTGAACTGTGGGAAACTGTCCATGGACACTGAATATGAAACTGAACTAGTCAAAATGCTTCGTCTGTCTAGAATACTGGGTATTAATAAATACCAAAGTATTCTCACCTTCCAACCTGTCTTGTCACATCAACATGCAAGGGAGTTATCAAATGTCAGAACGACCAAGGAACCTAAGGGGCTTCTACTACCCAAAGACGGAACACTTTAAACAGAGAAATGAATAATGGTGGCATGCAACCTTTACCCCAGCACTGGGGAGGCAGAGGCAAGACGGATCTCTGTGAGTTCCAGGTCAGCCCGGTCTACAGAGCTAGTTATAGTCTAACTATGTCTTGCTTTCCTGGTTTTGAAAACTGTTTTTAAAGACACTTCACTCCAAGGAGGGTTGTAACTATTGACGTCAGTGTCAATAATACGTAAGTAATGTAAAATAAAAGGTCACAAATGTTTTTCAGTTTAAATGTAAGAACAGCCATTTAAGTAGCTTAAAACAAACAGCAAAGAGGTCTCTTCCTCTGTTTCTTCCCACTGTACTCTCAACACAATGGTCAGCCTCTCCAGCAGAATCAAATAAAACCTCCATAAACAAAACATTATCTTATTTCTGTCTTTCTCAGGACTTCAAGGGTTCTCTCTGGATTTCAGAAAATACAATCTAAATTTCTAAGCTTAAAAATATTGCTTAAGACAAAGTCTGTGTCTAATCAAACAATGGGGAAGCAGGAGGCCCACAAATGGGCCACTAAATTCCACACCAGAGCACCTTTGGAGAGGCCCAATTTATCTAGTAAGAGGCCCCAAGATGACTGGTTCTTCAGAGATAAATGTCTTACCTCAGGCGCTTCCTGTCCCTTGACCGTGATCTTCTTTTGTCCCTACTCCGAGACCTCTCTCTCCTTCGATCTCTCTCTCTACTCCTAGAACGTCTGTCATCTCCACGTTTACTTCTTTTGTCAGAGGGTGAGCGGCTCCTAGACCGACTTCCAGAACGTCCTCGCGATGCCGATCGTTTGCGGTAGTGGCTAGAATAGTACCAAATCAAAGATTAAGCTTAGCAAGCAGCTTGTATTTTATTTCTATGTGGGGGAAAAAAACTCAGCAATTTAAACACGTTTAATTAGAAGGAGAAAATGAACTATGGCTACAGTACATGTCCAGGGGAAGACTGGAAAGGACGCCACACATGGTGACTCGTGCACAGGACTTGGGAGGCTGAGGCCTGAGGATCCCCATGGGTTTGAGGTCAGGAATTGAGGCTTGGACTACAAAGCAAAACCCTGTCAAAAGGACTGGCATTCCTGGGCGGCGGCGGCGGCGGCGGCGGCGGCGGCGGCGGCGGCAGCACACACCTTTAATCCCAGCATCGGGATTAAAGCAGAGGCAGGCGGATCGCTGTGAGTTCGAGGCCAGCCTGGGCTACAGAGTGAGTTCCAGGAAAGACGCAAAGCTACACAGAGAAACCCTGTCTTGAAAAACCAAAAAAAAAAGGACTGGTGTGATGGCTCAGCAGTCAAAAGCAGAGGACAGCTTATATCTGGTAAAGGAAGAGCTCATAGGCAAATGAAGAAACGCACAATGGGTCAAGTACTGGACGGGAGACAACCAGCTCAGAAAAAAAGAGAGCAAATGGGAAGTTTGACATTTTATATCAGACAACTAGCAAAGCTCATTAATAAAGTGACATTATTTTTTTGAGACCCTTGAAGAAAATAAAAGCAGGAACCATGTGGACATACAGAGACCTTCCAGGCAAAGGGCACAAGAGTAAACGCATGGGGAGGAATCTGGACGGGCACACGAAGGGACAGCAGCAAGGAATACAGTTAAACAAGGTAAGAGAGTACACCAGGAGTGGGCACACACAACTTAACCCCAGCATGCAGGAGGCAGAAGCTAGCAGAGTTAGTTCCAGGCCAGCCAGGACTACACAGTGAGACTGTCGCAAAGGAAGAGGAAGGAAAAGAAAAGACTCAAGGGAGTGCCATGGGACAAGATCAGTGACATAAAGAGCAGTCAAACATGGAGAGATTAGGGGCTCTTACAAAGACTACATCTTTTACTCCGTAAAAGTAAGATGAAAAGCTACTAGGCCACCCATGGTGGCAGACCCCTGCAGTGCCAGCTACTAAAGCTAAGGAAAGATCACTTACTTCAAGCAGTTTAAGACCAGCATACTCCAGCCTCTAACTGCATACTTTTAATTAATTTATTTATGCATATATGCATATGCCTGAGTATATGTATGTGCCTCATACATATACATGCCTCATAATCTGGTACCTACGCAACCAGAAAAGGGTATCAGATCCCCTAGAACTGGAGTTACAGGCAGCTGTGAGCCACGTGGATGCTAGAAATTGAACCCAGGTCCTCTGAAAGAGCAGGTGCTTTCAACCACTGAGCCATCTCTCCAGCTCCATGAATACATTTTCTTACAAGAAAATAGATAATAAAAACAGAAAAGGCTGGGGCTGGAGAGATGGCTCAGTGGTTAAGAGCACTGCCTGCTCTTCCAGACCCGGGTTCAATTTCCAACACCCACATGGCAGCTCACATCTCCAATTCCAGGGACACACATGCGGGCAAAACACCAATACACATAAAAATAAATAAATCTTAAAAAAAGAAAAAGAAAAAGAAAAGGCTACTGAAAGATTGTTAAACAACGAGTGACACACCCTTATGACTGTTTTAAAGTATCACTTAGAGCCAGGCATGTAATGCCAGCACTCAAGAGGTGAAGGCAGTTAGACTAGCAGTTCAAAGCCAGCCTTGACTAAGAGATCGTGTGTGTGTGTGTGTGTGTGTGTGTGTGTGTATGTGTGTGTGTGTGTGTGTGTGTATGTGTGTATATATGTATGTATGTTTGTGTGTGTAAGCAAAGAACAAATTAAACAAAGGAGGCAACA